CTCAGCCTTCCAAGTAGTTGGAACTACAGGCGCGTGCTACCACGCCCGGCTGATTTTTTGATTTACTGTAGAGTTGAGGTCTCGCCAGGTTGCCCAGAGGGGTCTCGAACCAACGGGTTCAGGCAATCCACTCACCTCAGCCTCCCAAATGCGCGGGATTACAGCCTGAGCCACTGAGCCCGGCGAGTTCTGCTTTTTAAACTGTTAATGAGCATAGCAGATTTTCTAGTCTTTTTACTCATAGATCTCTTTTAAAAAAATTGTTTTTAAAAATTTTAAACACCTGGGGTACAGTTCAGCGCTAGATATACAAATGTTCATTATCCTGGTACCCTGGTTGATAAGGTCCCCCCCCATCTATCTTTAACATTTTTAAGTCACCAAAAGAAATTTGAACTTGAGTTTGTAGGAGTTGAAAAGGGAAAGACTTTTGTTTTTAAGCAAAATATAAGTCTCTATAGAATATAAACTTTTCTACATTTTCCAACAGCCATGACAGTAAATTTGGGGGACCATATTTACATGAGTTGCATTCTTTTTTTATTTTTTTTTTGAGTTGTAGTCTCACTCCGTTGCCCAGGCTCTGGAGTGCAGTAGCACACTCACGGCCACCTCAGCGTCAACCTGCTGGGTTCCGGTGATCCTTCTGCCTCAGCCTTCCAAGTAGCCGGAACTACAGGTGTGCGCTACCACGCCTGGCTAATTTCTGATTTATTGTGGAGACGAGGTCTTGTCAGGTTGCCTGAGCTGGTCTCAAACCTGTGTGGGCTCAGGCAATCCATTCGCCTCAGCCTCCTAAAGTGTTGGGATGACAGGCTGAGTCACTAACCCCAGCCGAGTTGCATTCTTAGAAATAATTTCATGGCTGTGTTGAAAAATGTTATTTCCCTTCCCAAATGATACATACCTTATATCTTCTCCCCCCTGAATAATAATTTTCTTGGTTAAATCTTTTTTGGACACTATTGAAATAGGTTTTTGTCCTTTAAAAAAATTATCTTTTGGCCTTTGAAAGTAGTATGGTTGGGATCTCTTGTTTTAATGTAAGAATAACAGATTAGTTCTTGTACAGGTCATTTTGAGCAAAAGGATTTTTAACAATTCTGATGCAAAGTTTTTAGAGAAATATTTCTTTTGAACAGACTTTTTAGAGCTAAAGTTTTCCCCTCTAACTTAGTTTTTCGCTGGCAGAGAACATCTGGGCATGTTCCAAATGTGGTTGAGTTACTGTATCTAAAGGTGATATTGGCATTTCATAAGTTCACGTTCTAGTTTGTCTGAAGCAACTAGACAGGCTTACATAAGAGCAAATTGCCGCCTCTGGGCTCTGCAGCCAAGCGTCATTTGTAGGAGGAGGAGACCTAACAGTATAGTGTACTAGTGAGGTAATTTGAGCTCTAAATAGTTGCTGGCTCTTGAAATAAGGACAGCATGATTTAGGGGAAAGGCCAGAACCTGATCCCGGTGGCCTTCGACACGCTAGCCTCTCCTTGCACTGGAGACAGTGATTAGGTTGCACTGTGGGGCTGCACATTGAGTGACGACAGGCGAGACTTGTGGCCTGAACGCCCGCAGCCTCCCGAGGCCATGGCTCCTTTCGCAGCCGTCTGGGGCAGTTCTTCTCAGGCCGCCTGGTGCTACGGTTGATGGAAAGGAAGTGCTGAAGGGAGCTAGGAAGTTTCGGCTTGGCTCTGAGACGAGGATGAAATAGAGAAGCAGCACTTGATATACAGGAAGACAAACTAGGAGGTTGCTAGGTAAGAAATGTAGGCATCTCCTGTGTGGAGAGCTAAAACGAAGGGAAGCTATTCAGAGTATTCTCAAGCATAATTGCTCACGTTTCTTTTTCTTTTTCTGAGTTGGCGTCCTACGCCGTTGCCCAGGCTGGAGTGCAGTGGCACACTCACGGCCACCACAGCCTCGACCTGCTGGGTTCAGATGATCCTTCCGCCTCAGCCTTCCAAGTAGCTGAACTACAGGCGTACACCACCTCGCCTGCCTAATTTTTGGATTTATTGTAGAGGCAAGGTCTTGCCGAATTGCCCAAGCTGGTCTCAAACCTCAGGGCTCAGGCTCCCCAAAGTGCTGGGATTACAGGTATAAGCCATCATGCTGGTGCTCACGTTTCTATACCAACCACTTTACTGTCAGGAGGACTAAACTGTCTGATACACCTGTTTTCATAATAACCTTATGAAATGTAAAAAATGAGGCAGGAAAGTCCCTGTTTTGCAGACAAGAAAACGAAGGCCCAGAGAAATGAAATGGCTTGCCCCCAGAGTCACTTAGCAAATGGTGGAACTGGGACACCCACAGTCTGGGTTATTTGTATATACGTCAGAACTTAACAGAAGTGCTACTGGTCTGAGGGGTGGGTGAGAAATGACGACTGTGTAAAGAACTGGACATGCGGTGAGAAGCCATCTTTAATTTATCGAGGAGAAATGATGTTGGCACAAGGGGAAGGCCAAGGAGATCGTGGAGTAAAAACGTCTTTCTGCTGGCTTCCTTCTCTGAATTCCAGTAGTACTGAAGCCCAGTTCTTTCCTACTCCTCAGCCTATTTTGCTTAGGCCATGTCTGGTAGAAGAGCGTTGTTCTCTAGCATTACGATGGAGAATCATTAATGTCTAGTAAAAGGTTACCTTTTTATTTATTTTGAAAGAGGAGGCCGGGCTTGGTGGCTCAGCCTGTAATCCCAGCGCTCTGGGAGGCCGAGGTGAATGGATTGCCTGAAGCCCGCGGGTTCGAGACCTGCCTGGGCAACTTGGTGAGACCTCATCTCTACAATAAATCAAAAATTAGGCGGACGTGGTGAGTGCATGCCCGTAGTTCCAGCTACTTGGAAGCTGAGGCGGAAGGATTGCCGGAGCCCAGCGGGTCGAGGCTGCAGTGGCCGGCAGTGGTCATCTGGCCACTGCACTCCAGTCTGGGTGACAGAGTGAGACTCCAACTCAAAAAAAAAAAAAGAAAGAGGAGATTTACCTCCTCAAGCCAGGAAACATGGCCCCAGCCATAGCTCACAGAGCACATGGCCACACCATAGTTTACCCAAACAGTGGCCACAATGACCAAGGTTACCTTTTTAAAAACTAATCAGCTTAGGAAATATTTGTGTCTGTATCATCTGCTGATCAATTTATTCAAAAAGTGAATTGCTGGCCGGGTGAGGTGACTCAAGCCTGTAATCCTAGCACTTCGGGAGGCCAAGGTGAGAGGATTGCCTGAGCCCACAGGTTCAAGACCAGCCTTGAGGGCAACTTGGTGAGACCTCGTCTCTACAATAAATCAAAAAATTAGTTGGGCACGGTGGTGCATGCCTGTAGTTCCAGCTACATGGAAGGCTGAGGTGGAAGGATCGCCGGAACCCGGCAGGTCGAGGCTGCAGTAGCACGAGCATGCCACTGCATTTCAGCTGGGTGACAGAATGAGACTCTAGCTCAAAAAAAAAAGTGAATTGCTTACAGTAAACTAATAGGTATGGTTTGGTTTATGGTCTCATTTAATCATCTCTGAGTCGATGCTGTTTGAGTTAGCACTGTAACCAGTTTCACTAAGAATATCCCCATTTATAAAAGTGGAATATGTTAATTGTTCAAACAGGAGGAAAAGTGTCTTGGTAGCTCAACACTCCCCACCCTAAATAGTTTAGTGTATCTTTCTGTATTATATGTGTCTATCCTTCGTATCTGTAAGTTTAAAATGTTATTACATGCTGTGGTTGATCTACAAGGGGGACAGTGAGGGCTTAAAGGGGAAGGAGTAGCCGGTTTAACTGGGTGTAGGGAGAGGAGAGTAGGAGAAGCAAAGTTCTCAGAGGACTTGAGTATTAAACTTGATTCTTGGTAGTTGTGTGAATGTTTACCAGGAAGAAACTCGAGACTATTCTGGGTAGAGACAGAAGAACAGACAAATGGACAGAAGTGTGACTTTTTTTGCAGTTAACATCTTATGACTGGAGCACAGGTATAGGAGAGGGTGAGGTTTGAGAAATATCTAGTCTTCTGTACGATTAATAAAATAAGGAATGATCTAGGATTCCTGATGTTGTAAGTTAGCCGTTGACTTAGTGTGCAAAAGTTTAGACACAGTAGAAGCTGCAGTTGACTGGCTAAATGATATGTGACTTCAGAACGGGAATAAAAGAGCTCTATCCTTGTAGAATAATCTATTTCAAATGGTTGCCAGATACCTAATATAATATATGGCTCTGATATTACAGAAATCAGGTAAATTAAGAGAGAAGAAAGAAAGAAGCATCAACTTGTATTGCCCACCTCAGCTCAGGAGTGCTTTGCTCGTCTCCATTCTTTTTGTTGCTAGTTGCATTTAATCAGATAGTGCCACAGATGCATATTTCCTGGGTTGCTAAAAGATCACAGTGATCAGACTTGGTTCCAGCCCTCGGTTTTTGCTTTCCTGAGGTTTTAAGTCACATGGTCTTAGCATACAAGCAGAAAAGCCTCCTTGTTTCTCAAAAGTCAACTTGAAGTTGACTCAGTATGTTCTCCCTCAAAAGGGATGTGACCAAAGTCTAGTAGGGCAGGATTAGGAGGAGTCTGTCAGTCATTTTGTTTTCCTAAAAAATTGCTAAGATATCTAAGCCATTTATACTCAGAGCCCCTAGGATTGGTATGTATGTAGTGTTACGTGGGAGAACAGTTGGCCTTTTGCAACTTAGATTAAAGCTTATCATCTAAGCCTGGGCTCGATAGTTTGTTCATGGAACAGGATGTGATAAGCCTGTGTCCTTTTTAGGAAGCCAGGATTCAGACTGCATTTTTTCCCCTCCTTGGTGCTTGTTCTACCTCTATAGCCCTTCCCTACACCCACACAGCATAACTTCTCTTTGTGCCAGCAATTCACTTTAATCAACTGGTAGATCTGTTGTGTTTTAGTGCCCTGAAGATAAGATTAACTTGGCTGACGTCATGTGTGCTGTAACAACTCCTTATTTTTCCCTCTTCACAGGTGACAGAGCTGAACGAGCCACTGTCCAATGAAGAACGAAACCTTCTCTCTGTGGCTTACAAGAATGTTGTTGGGGCACGCCGTTCTTCCTGGAGGGTCATTAGTAGTATTGAGCAGAAGACATCTGCAGATGGCAATGAGAAGAAGATAGAGATGGTTCGTGCTTACCGTGAGAAAATAGAGAAGGAGTTAGAAGCGGTATGTCAGGATGTGCTGAGCCTGCTGGATAACTACCTGATCAAGAATTGCAGCGAGACCCAGTATGAGAGTAAAGTGTTTTACCTGAAGATGAAAGGGGACTATTACCGCTACCTGGCTGAAGTAGCCACTGGAGAGAAAAGGGCGACTGTCGTGGAGTCATCTGAGAAGGCCTATAGTGAAGCCCATGAGATCAGCAAGGAGCACATGCAGCCCACTCACCCCATTAGATTAGGCCTGGCTCTTAACTACTCCGTGTTCTACTATGAGATCCAGAATGCCCCAGAGCAAGCGTGCCACTTGGCCAAGACGGCTTTCGACGATGCCATTGCCGAGCTCGACACTCTGAACGAGGACTCCTACAAGGACTCCACTCTCATCATGCAGCTCCTCCGCGACAACCTCACGCTCTGGACAAGCGATCAGCAAGACGACGACGGCGGAGAAGGCAACAATTAAGGCCCCGGGCGGACTGGCAGCGCACGCTGATGCTACTACTGCAGTCTTTATTTTTTTCCCATGAGTAGGGGGTCGGGTGGGGGAGGGAAAGGGAGGGGTGACCTTCCCAGGGAGAAACCCACGACCTGTCCTGTCTTTGATCGCCTCTCTGACATTTTTGCCAAAATACCACTAGTGGAAAGTCAGGCTAGCTGTGCTGGTATTGGAATAGCAGCCTCACACTGGCGTATGGACTGTTCTGTAGATTAATGCAAGTGGAGCTGTCTCTAACTTAACTTATTGCTAGGTAATAGGGTTTTAAGATGAAAAGAAAACATGAATGGAATGGCCCTCATTCAGTAAGTTCTGTGGTTCCAGTAAGGATTTTTATGTACATATGCTCTTGTCTTAAGTTTTGGGTACTTTCTATCTCATCTGTTTTAGCTGTGCATTTTTTTCAGGGTGTACTCTACCAGACACAGAATAGTTTAAATCCCAAACTGACAGACTTAGAACATAAGGTATGTTCATCCTTATGGTTTAAGCCTTGGCAGTTTTCTGAAGTCTCTGATTAGTTGACAGTATTAACACTAAATTGCAGTTTACAGTATTTCTACATTACAGCCATATGTGACATCAAGCCATTGATTGTGTATTTTCCTTTGCTAGTTATCTTGGCTTTACATCCTCATCAGCCTTATCCAGCTTGGTTCTGCTGTTTACCTGTCTCCTAGGCTAAAGGAGGAGAATCAAAACTACTTTCGGTTTTGGGTAATAGGTGCTTGGCAGGTGGCTGTGGGATTTTTTTGTCCTCCTTTCCTCTTAACCCAAATCCACCAAAAAAATTATTAATCATTTTAAGAGAAACGTTACACACCACAAAAATAGAGAAAATTCAGGTCTGTATGTCATTTCTCGTGTTGGTATTTTCAGAGCATATCCTGCTTTCGAAGCTGCCACAGCTCCCTGCTCAGGGATCACACTGCCGTCCACTCTTCACTTGAGTCTTTCCCACTGTACCTTGTGCTGGCGGCACGCAGTTGGGTGCAGAAGCCGCGTGGTTACTTGGAGAAGGTTGGTGGTGCAGTGTGTGAAAATTCAGGTGCTAGAAGCTTACTGGTAGAAAAATCCAAAAGGAAGAGCTAAATTCATAATCATTCTGTCAAATTTTGGGAGCCTTGTCAGTATGTTGGTTTTTCCACCCTGAAAACACTCCTTCCCTAAGTACGTGTTGTAGGAAGATAAACGAAAACCATACCAAGTCATAAATACTTAACTCCTATTTGACCCAGATCTTTTCTTCCTTGTTTTTTTCTTTTTAATGAAAAAAGCATAGACGTTGGAGATTTACTTCTCTCTTGTGCGGTCAGTGCACATTTTGGAGTTGATGGAAATGACATTGCTGTTTCTGCATGTTTGTTTTCAGTTAGCTTTAGGTCCCTCATTCTCATTTTGGATAAATCTGTCTGTGAACATGACCTGCATGTGTGCTCAGTTTTTTTTTTTTATTAAGTCAGTAACTGAGAACTCCCAAGATGGATAGTGTGAAACCACACTTGTTTTGTTCCTTTGTTTATTTAAGCAAGGAGAGGCATGAGTAATAATTGAGGAAAAACTGACAGATGCTTTTGCTAATACCAAAATTGAGCTTACATTTAGGAACTGAGTATGTTGAACAGGATATAGGTGACAGTGAAGATAGAAGAAAGATGATGACCATAAATCAATACACTCTGTAACATTGCACAGTTTACCCAGCATGACTTTCCTTAGAAGGCCCCCTCCGTACACTAGAGTGAGAGTCCCAGTTGACTGAAGCCTACCAGAAGAACTAATAGTAGAAGGAAGCTCTGCTGCTTTTGTGCCATTACGGAGCCTAAAACCATTGCCATGGATGGGAGAAAATTTGGGGAGGGGGGTGGGAAGGTGGGGCTTTCCCTAATTTATCTTCATGTCCAGTGAGCAGTGTTGTGTCCTTCCTTCCTTGTAGCATTTGGAAATGATCTACTGGAATTACAAAACCTATTTTTCCTTTGAATTTCAGCTTTGGCCGTGGCTGCTTTATAGACTTATTGCAAGGTAAAATCATACCCGAGGGCTAAAAATGAAGAGGGAACGGGAGACTTGATATTTAAGCAGCTTGAATGGTTTCTTTTCTTTTCTTTATTTTTAAAGAAATGCACTTGCCTATGATACTGTCTCTCCAGTGAAATGATTACTCCTCCATTACTCTATTGATACAATATTGTGCATGCTAGTGTTGTATTTCTATACAGTAGCTTGAAATTTATTAACTTATACTGTAGGTGTTATGTATTCCTATGACAAAAAATTAAGTCTTCAAATTTTTAAAATTTTTTTTGTTTTTAATTTAATTTTTCCTTTGGGGGTAAAGTTTGCTCTACCAAATAGTGATCGTAACAAATTGATCTGTTTTGGATGTTGCTATAGTGACATGCAGTTATATATTTTGTTTTTAAAGGGGGGGGAGCAAAAGAAACACCAGTGTTAGCTTACTCTTAATGTCTGGTGTTTGTCATGGTGAAATTATAACTATTACAGTGTAGGAGAACAACGAATATGTTCTCTGAATGAGCCTTTGTGCTTTTTGTCATGTTATGCAGTGAACTATTTTTAAGGTCTAATCAGTG